TTTGTTCAGTCATTCATACTTTGCCAATTTGCAAGCGGCAGCGCAGTGACTCTGTGGTTATCACGTCTGTCTTGCAGCACTGGGGTTCTTGGTTGGTATGCCAGCCAGAAATTCATGAAGTTTGCATGTTCTCCCTATACTTCTGTGCAGTAGCCTAACAATCACCATAGCGACCCAGGCAGCCGCTATGGGGCCCGGGGCACAGGGGGGCCCGACCAGGACATTCCTGATGCCCTGCGGGCCGCCTGGGTCGCTATGGCATCTCACGCTGCTGGCAGTCACTGGGGGCTGTGAAGAGAAAATCTGCCGCTGCACAGATCACTAACAGTGATGTGTACAGCGGTGTGTTGCTCTCCGCACCCGCTGCTGAGTCAGTGAGAACCAGGAGCGGCGGTGGAGCAGGCTGGACCCGGCAGTGGAGGAGGAGGAGGCGGGGCCCGGGGTTGGCATCAGAGGAGGAAACGGGGACGGGCGGAGGAGGCGGGGCTCATCACCGACGGTGGAGGAAGAGGAGGCAGACAGGTAAGGAGTGTGACCAGCCCACCTTAGAGAGTCTATGGTGGGCTCTGCAGGGTCACCCTCAGGTGGGCTGTATGGGATCTCAATTGGGCTCTGCAACTGGGTGTAACTAGACATCAAAGGGGCCCCATACAAAATTTTGCTATGGGGCCCTGTGATTTTGTAGTTACACCCCTGCTTATGTGGGTTTCCTCCAACACTCCAAAGATATGGTAGGTGGTTATTTGGCTCCTGTATGGATTGGTTCTAGTAGTCTAGTAATTTATAGGTTGGACTTGATGGACTAATGTCTTTATTCAACCTCAAATACTATGTAACTAGTATGTGTCTGCATGTAACTAGTATGTGTCTGCATGTAACTAGTATGTGTCTGCATGTGAGATGGGGGACCTTATAGTTTAATTATGCATCTAAGAATTGGCAGGAAGCCTGCATTTGGTGTGTTTAGAAATACGTCTCCTGCATTACACACAGCAAAGCATAAGGGAGTCCCAGATCACCGGACCACTTATAGACGGGAGTGGGATGGACTCGTACATGGCAGCTATTCTGGATGAAGTACTGAGCTTCTTAAAGCTTTCCTTTCATGTCTCTGTAGTTCCTTCACTTCGGATGTTTGTTAGTAAATTAGTTTGCAGCAAAAAATGTTAATTTCTTATTTTTTTTGTTTTTCTGTCTTCTTTGCAGTTATACACCCATCATGGTGCGAGATTTAAGGGTACCCATGGACCAGGGCTTGGATGTCGATATTACACCCAGGGAGCCTAAAAAGTTACCCAAACAGGCTCGTGAAGACCAGCCTCGGACTGCGGACCGTTCACATCACTTATCTGAACACAAAAAGCCCCGCCAGCGGTATATGGAGAAGGATGGCAAGTGCAACGTTCACCATGGCAACGTGAAGGAAACGTACCGCTACCTCAGTGACATGTTCACCAGTCTGGTTGACCTCAAGTGGCACTTCAGCCTGTTTATTTTCACCCTCGTGTACACAGTCACGTGGTTGTTTTTTGGACTCATTTGGTGGTTTATTGCCTATCTCAGAGGAGACATGGAACACTTGGGGGACAAGGAGTGGGTTCCTTGTGTGGAGAATCTGAATGGCTTTGTCTCCGCTTTCCTGTTTTCCATCGAGACAGAGACCACCATTGGCTACGGCTACCGAGTTATCACCGAGAAATGTCCCGAAGGAATAGTTCTGCTTCTCATACAGGCAATCTTGGGTTCCATCGTTAACGCCCTCATGGTGGGGTGCATGTTTGTAAAGATAAGCCAGCCGAAAAAACGAGCCGAGACCCTGATGTTCTCCAACAATGCCGTGATTTCCTTGCGAGATGGTAAATTATGCCTGATGTTCAGAGTAGGAGATCTCCGAAGCTCCCATATTGTGGAGGCCTCCATCCGAGCCAAACTCATCAAATCCAAGCAGACCAAAGAAGGGGAGTTCATCCCGCTCGATCAGACGGACATTAATGTCGGCTTCGACACGGGAGACGACCGCCTCTTCCTGGTCGCTCCGCTAATCATTTCACATGAAATCAATGAGAAGAGTCCGTTCTGGGAGCTGTCCCGTGCGCAGCTTGACATGGAGGACTTGGAGATCGTGGTCATCTTAGAAGGCATGGTGGAAGCTACAGGTAGGTAATGTTACGGTGAACCTTCATATGAGAAACATGGAAACTACCAATGGTGACCTCCTTCCCAAAATGCCTGGTTGATTTGGCTGTAACATTGATGGTTCCGCTGTAATAGTCTTCAGTCACAGAGCTGGAACGAGTTTGCAGATGAGGAAGTGGAGAAACGTTGGACGTTCTTATCTGCATACTTGTTCAGGTCACCGGCTCCCAAGCTGGCCATACATGTGGCTGTTAGATGAAGCAATTCCACATTCAATTCCATTTTTTTGTTGAGATTTCAAAGCAGTGGAAGACTTACATTTGGTGTATTCAAATGACCACATGGAATTACAATTGCCCTGGCCGAAGGCAGTGGGAAAATGTGATCGCTTTTGCGACTACTGATAATTTTTCCAGCTTTGATTCCATTTCAATTCAATTGCAGTGAAAGTTCAGACATAGAAGGGTGACATTAATCAATATGAGGCCGAGGCCCAATATCGACTTCACAATTGGCACAATTCTGGGTGGCGGATTTCTTCTTTTCTGGCAATCACTTGCCATCTTTTTATGCATTTCCCATTGGCTCAAAAGTTGAGTGTTTATTGATCAGTTACACCCAGGCAACATTTTCAGAATTAAGTCAACAATGGCGGCTCCATGTTTCTCTCCGGGCCTAACTCTCTTCAACCCATCAGAACTGGACCGCGTACTCCAGATGAGGTCGAACCAATGATCTATAAAGTGGCAAAATTCCTAAACATTGTCTGCCTGAAAAAGGTATTTTAGTTTTGGGTGGCTGGCAGCAAGTTACATTGTATACTCGCGTCTTCTATATATAACCCAGCACTGTGCTCCCAGGTCTACCACCTGCCATAGACATTACCAGTAAAACCCGCTCTCCCTGTTCATGGCTTCATCTATTTTACACGTACAGAGTGATTGAGACTTCTCCTGATTTAGCTGGTTGAGTTAGACCCCCTGGCTGCAGGTGGGGGGCAGAGACAGAATCTTCAATGAGGAGACCCCATGGCTGCAGGTGGGGGGCAGAGACAGAATCTTCAATGAGGAGACCCCATGGCTGCAGGTGGGGGGCAGAGACAGAATCTTCAATGAGGAGACCCCATGGCTGCAGGTGGGGGGCAGAGACAGAGTCTTTCCTGTCATTGCCTCTTTTGTGAAATGTAAGGATGAATTCCTCCACGGTGCCTACAACTACAGAGGTCACTGAGACTTGTTTGTAAATACAGCTATTACCCCGGACCTGCTTAGTGAACAAGGTAGGTTTCCATCTGCAACAATCTGCGCGACTGACGGGGGGATACACGGAAGGGGGAAACGTTTGGAGGAGGGAACAATCTAGGACGGAATTGCTGATTTGGAAAACTTCTCCGATTTCAGCTCACTGTCCGGTTCAGCGTTATTGTCCTCGATTCTCTTCTCCAAACTCTTCACCCTTGTTTGTGAAATAGTCCTGTAAATCTCCTCATCGGTCCGGATTAGTGAGGCGGCCGAGCTGGGGGGGAAGTGCTGAGAATTTGTAACAACAATGAGCCAATTAGGCAAAACTGTTCAAACTCTGAATGCAGAATAATTGCTGCGCTTGCATCATATCCCGCTGCTCAGCACCTGCGTTATATCGTATTTCATACCCAGCCGCGAGCAGAGTCATGCGTCTTCTGTATACAAACATTCAGCCGTCCGTTCTGTGTGTTCATCTTCAATATGCACATGTGTAGGCGTCCCTAACATACCAGTATACATGTATGTACGTTGTATGTGTGCATATATTCTACATATACCTGCTACAATGTATCGCTGTCTTTGCTCTTCACAACATTCGAGTTTCTTGTTACAGTTTACAATCTCTAATCTCCCCTCGGTGTGTGTATGGGGCAAGATTCAAAGTGAAACCTTCAGGATAGAATTACGGGAGATTCAACCCCATTGTTTATGCTCCAGGACGACCCTTCTAAACCTCCAGAAGTTGCCAGGGACGCCCTGAAATATGAGCAATTTCTGCCCCTCATATAAATAACCACTAATAATGTAAGGAGCATTCTTCCCGCTGACCCCCAATGTAAGGGACATTCTTCCCGCTGACCCCCAATGTAAGGAACATTCTTCCCACTGACCCCCACCAGCAGATCATGTTGTTGTATAGAACATCCCTGGGCAGATACAGCACGTGTTATATTATTTTTTATTGATCTTTATGTCTCCACAGACTGTAAACACTCATGCACTGTGAGCTGTACTGTGAGCTGTAGATGTGTGAGTTATTATCTGGGGTTCCCTGATAATAAATCGGGGAACCCCAGAAATGGCAGCTCCCGGATGTCACTCAAGTTCTTTACTGACTAGTGAGTCCCTGGGCTGGGAGAAGGATGCACAATGGAAGCCTTCACTAGCTGCATGCTTGTTCTCGGTCACCACAGTGAGTGGTGACTAAACCTTTAAAATCAAAGCAGTGTCGGCCCCATATGTCTGTCCGCCTGTCACTAGAGACACGCACAGACCGAAAATCAGATGTGACCGTCTTCTGGAGCGTTTGTGCACGGCAACCAATCAGGTTCCTCTCTTTCATTTTCAAATCTTAAAGGAGAACTATGGGGTCAGGGTTTTTCCCCCATAGTTCTCCTTAGGGTAACGGGAGGACACAAACTAGCGTCCTCCCGTCACCCTAGGCTCAGTATATAGGGAGCTACAACTCGCGGTATACCGAGATGCCGCAGTCGGAGCGGATCCCGACAATTGTGTCTGGATCCGCCCAGCTGCGTGACTGACAGCTGGCTCCTCCTATCTAAAGGCAGAGCCAGCTGTACCCGCCCCCTCCCCCGTCCTTTCTGCCAGTCAGCGCTGGAGGATCGAAGCAGGGAGGGGGGAACCCAGCCCCTCCCCTGTCACGGCAGAGAGCCGTGACAGGATCGAGAAGTGAGCGAACGCCGGTATGTGTTCTCTCACCTCCCGATCTACTGAGCCGACCTGCGACAGTCTCATTGTCACAGGTCGGCTAGAACTATGAGGTGAGTGAAAAGCCCCTCCCCCTCATAGTTCTCCTTTTAACTCAACAAACTGAAGAGAGAAGCTGATTGGTTGCTGTGGACAGCTTCTCTAGTTTTGATAAATTCCCTACAATTCCCCCATTGTATAGTCCGGGTCCGGGCAGCGCACATCTCCTCCTGTGCTTTGCATTGTCTTTAGGTTATGACAGTTGAGCGCTACGAATGTGGAAGCCATGTCCGTCCTACAGGAACATAGTCCAACGTGCATCATGAGCCTAGGGTGATGGGAGGACGCTAGTTTGTGTCTTCCCGTTACCCTAAGGAGAGCTATGGGGAAAAGCCTTAACCTCGTAGTTCTCCTTTAATAAAGCGCTCCCGGCTCTTCTTTCTGTCGTCTAATTTTCATTTTTAGGTTTACACTTCAGGTGACATTAAATATTTCTCCGCCGTTAATGGTAATGAAAGTTTATGATGCAGAAATATCCCGACGCCTGCGCTCCATTACTAGTAATTATTTCCTCCTCGAGGATTAACGACCTTGTCATTGTGAACGGGACGAGGTGCCCATTATTGGTTCCCTCCCTTTTATATCTGATCAGCTGATGCGTTGCTGAGAATAATAGAATCACCATTTCTGCATTATAATCACTCGGCCTTTTGCTTTTAATACAAAATGTTATCCAATAAATAAGAACTGTCCGGTCTCCCTGTCTGGGAAAAGGGCTAAATAATGCAGGAGCCCTGAGATCTCCTATATATTTATTTCTATATTATGGTAATCATCCCGTAATATGGCGCTGATATCAATGTGGAGACTCTCTGAATATTGGGCTGGACGGTGCTGCATAGCGAAGAGTTTCCCTGATCACGTCGGGTTGTGATAGGACGGAATCTAGAATCGAAGTGACAACCCATAATATTCAAATACAAGTTTATTCCAACGGCGGAAGGAATACAAAGCAATGCGTTTTGGGGGCTGTAACTCCGCCCCCTGCAGTGCTAAAAGTGGATTTATTTGTTACTATGTATCATCTGTATTTATATAACTTTCCATACATTCACCTCACAATGCAACAGCAAAAGAGAAAGTTCTTCTATGTGCAACATTGTAACACGATGGAGAAAGCTGGGAAACCGGGTTAGATATCGGCGAGGGTAAGATCAAAGTGTGACCGTAATAAATCGATAATCGTATCAATAATCAGAATGATCCGTCAT